TCGGGGGGGGGGGGGGGAAAAAAGAAAAAAAAACTCATTCATTGGAAATGCACCAATTTTCCTAAGATCCTTCTTCAATCGGATTGATGGGCTACTGTGTGAAATTGAAATCTTAGACAACATGATTGTGAAGCAAAACATAATTGAGGCGAGTTTATGTGCCCCACTTGTACATGTACAGCTGAACAACCATCTTAATTAGGTTCAGCTTAATGATATCTCATGTCAATGAAAAGCCAACCCAAGAAAGACCACAGTAGAGTGTCTCAATCCTTCATGATCCTCATACAGTGTCACCCAACGGCTAAATCTAAACAAATGGTTAATACCTTTCCTTTATATATTTTTAGTTTTGTTTAGAAGAGACTCCAAGGCTTACATGGGGAAATGGGAAACCCGAAAGGAGATTCTATACCTGATGAAATGGTTCATTTTCTTACTTCTCTTTAGATGACAAGTGTTCGAGTTTCCTAGTTTGCTTCAAAGAGAGAGAGCAATATTTGGACCAATGCACGAACCCTTGAATGCTTTTCATTGTCAAAACCTTATATCATGGCCTCCTGGGACCATTGATAAGATAAAAGCTGGGCCAGCATTTCTCTACCAACCAAAATCAGTAGTGATGGAGATCCAGACCCTATTGTGCCACCGACAGCAGGTATCGAAGTTATCTGCATATCAAGCAAGCAAGCAACCTCCTAAATCAAAGGCTTTCTCAGATTTTCTATGATATTTGCCAAGATCTATTACTAGGCTAATACCACAGTGCTTCACAAGATTATTTGTTTTGTTTTAGTAAGTCACTTTTAACGGGGAGACTATTCCAAGTCAAGCTAGGCTAGCGTTATTCGTTTTGTGGAGTGCCAGCGGAAGAAGTCCGCTTCTATAGCACTTAAGTTTATCTAACATCTAATTTCGAATTAGATTCATGTATCCTCTTACATGTGTGTGTGTGTGTGTTTTTTTTTGGCAAGCTCAAGTTGTATGTGCGTTTGAGCTATGCCAATGCTCAAGTTTGAACTCGAAAAATGTTCTTATTATTCTCCTACCATTACAAATGTGCCTAATGTTTCAGGCCATGGGTTTCAGCTCATAGTTTCTTTGAAAATCAAGATTATTAAGTCGGAGGAGGGTTGAATTGGATGATAAGGTGAGAAAGATTGTAAGTAAAAAGTTCTGGATCCAATATCTCTCACTTACTTTCGAAAAAAAAAGGAGAGAGAGATTATCAAACTAAACAACAAAGTGAAGAATTAGAAGCACGCATTAAGAGTCTTTGGACTGATGGCCCATTAACCTGTCCAAGAATTAAAGGTCCCCAACTTATGCTGAATGATGTCAACAATTCTCCGGTCTATTGGGCTTATGTGCATCAGTTTTATTGGCCCATCTCACAAACGAAAGATAAAATGCGAAAGCCTTTGCATCTTCCCCGCCAACTCGTCCTCTACCCGCCACCCCCGCCCGCTTTTCCAACTTAAACGGTCAAATCTGGGGAAAAAAAAAAAAAAAAACCCATCGAGTAATCGGGGAAAACTATCCCTGAAATGCTTCACCGTTGCAAGTCCCTTCCTAGCAAATTTTCTGCAGTTATAATCAGGAGAAGCTTTCTCATCCAACAAATTCGCTCGAAATCAAGCCGTCGTTTCAACATCAGAGACTCGGACAAAGAAGATGACGAGGATGACTACGGTAACAATCTCGGAAGCGACGTTAAAGTTTCAGAGAAACATTTACAGCTATTCAAAAGCCGGGGACAACATCTTCTCACTAACCCGCGAGTCCTCGATACTATTGTCAGGAAATCCAATATAAAACCCAATGACACCGTTTTAGAAATCGGACCCGGCACCGGAAATCTGACTTTGAAGCTGCTTGAAGTTGCGGAGAAAGTTAATGCTATCGAAATCGACAAGCGCATGGTCGAAATCCTTCACAAGAAAGTCGCTGAGCGAGGATTTGAAGACCGGTTGACTGTGAGATACAATGATCAGCTGTTTGATGTAATGCTTCAGAGGAGTTTTTTTTTAGCTGATTTCATGCTTTTTCTGTTTAGGTAATATGTGATGACGCACTGAAGGTTGATTTTCCACAATTTGATCTCGTGGTAGCTAATATTCCCTATGGGATATCCTCGCGTTTGGTAGCGAAGTTCGTGTTTGGTGGGAGTAAGTTCAGGAGTGCAACACTTTTACTTCAGAAAGAGTTTGCTAGGAGGCTGTTAGCCGATCCTGGTGAACCAGAGTATAACCGGTTAGCGGCGAATGTGAAGCTGGTGGCAGACGTGGAGTTTGTTATGGATGTAAGCAAGAGGGACTTTTTGCCCGTTCCTAAGATTGATTCTTCGGTGATCAAGATCTGGCCTAAAGAGGACGTTCCAAGTGTTGATTTGATGGAATGGTGGGCGTTTACACGGATGTGCTTTAGCAAGAAAAATAAGACACTCGGTGCGATATTTAAGAAGAAGAGGAAGTTGATGGAGCTGATGAAGTTGTCACAAACTGATGCGAGTTTCCAAGATTATGAGAGTCATGGTGATGATGAAAAGGAAGTTGAGCTGAATGCTGAAAGTGAAGATGACAAAAATGAAATGGAGACGAATATGAAAATGGGCTCGAAGAAAGGGATGAGCTCGTTTAAAGAGAAAGTCGTGGAAATCATTAGATCCGGAGGAGTGGAGAGCAAGAGGCCTTCAAAGCTATCAAACGAGGAATTGCTGCATTTGCTCTCCGTGTTTAATCAAGCTGGTATACATTTTCATGATCAAGCAGAGGTCAAGGATACAAACAATGCAAAATACTATGAAAAATTGATAACGACTTTTATTAAATACGAGTTGACTCCAAACTAAGTTGGAGCAGAGGGCTGTGATAATCACTGCTGACCCTTTTTTTTCAAAAAAAAATTTCACTCCTTATAGTTGGCGTCTGAACTTGAACTACTATATTGTTTTAAGTACCCATGATGGATCTGAACTCCTTTCGTTAAACTACTTGTGCTGCGGTTGACATCCAAGTTCTACATGTCATTGAGTACTTTGGATCCCAGGGTTTTGATACCATACGAAAGTTCCACAGGATAAACATGGCATGCAGTCGTGGTGGACAGGTTTTAATATTCTCTTTTCAAGCAGCAACAAACATTGAATAGCATCCTGACTAGGCTTTGAGGAGCAAAAATTAATCTGGATCTTGCAAAACATAGAGCTATAATCGAGCCCTATGTCTTAGTATGTGTTAATCCTTAAAGGTAAAAATTCGGTTTGTGAGGCCATTTATAGTACGAAACTTATCAATTATGTGTCAAAATATTATTTACTTTCATTACAAATAATTTCTCAATGCACCATTTTACCTCTCATATATGACAATTTACAAAGTATAACCGTAATTATTCCAAGTAATATTTCAACTAAGCTCCTATCCTAACTATTTTATTTAGGGATAATTGCAGAAACCTCTCCTGAGGTTTCTGACATTTGCATTGACCTCCCCTGAGGTTACTAATCCTTTGCAAATTTAGTCCAAACGATTAAAATATTATTTTAGGGAGTGAAATTAGAATTTTATATCAGATTTGCCCTTTGTGCTACATATCCAATGAATGACAAAGTACTATAAATCAATTAACAATTAATAAACTTCAAGAAGTATAATTTATGGGCAAACACGCATTACTCATTTAAAGTACCGGCTCTTTACCGGTATTTTACTTTTAAATATTTAATTATAATAAATATATCAATATTTGTAAGTAAAATTCAAAAATTGTTATAGTAATATTCTTGCAAAAAGGAAATCGATAGGTTATTCATTTAATATAAATTAAATATTTTTTCAAAAAAATAAATGGCCCATAAAGTATTAATTTTTTATGGCTTTCATCCATTACACGAGTAAAGTATTCGGTCTTTATGTGCATTTTATTCTGAATCATTTAATTTATGTTAAATACATAAATATTTGTAACTAAAATTGAAAAAGTGTTATATTAGTATTTTTACGGAAGAGAGATTGGTAGGTTTTGTATTTAATAAAAATTAATATTTGAAAGTAAATACAAATCTGTATTTGAGCGTAAATATTTGTATTAAATTAAATGTTTGAAAGTAAAATACCCTTAAAGAACCGGTACTTTAAATAGTTACCGGCTCTTTATAGTCAAACACGCATTACTCATTTAAAGTATTAGCTTTTTACGGATATTTTACTTTCAAACATTTAATTTATGATAAATATATCAATGTTTGTAAGTAAAATTCAAAAAGTGTTACAGTAATATTCTTGCAAAAAGGAAATCGGTAGGTTATTTATTTAACGTAAATTAAATATTTTTTAAAAAAAGAAATGGCCCATAAAGTATTAATTCTTTATGGTTTTCTTCCATTACATGAGTAAAGTATTGGCTCTTTATGGTATTTTATTCTGAATCATTTAATTTATGTTAAATACATAAATGTTTGTAACTAAAATTGAAAAAGTGTTATATTAATATTTTTACGGAAGAGAGATTGGTAGTTTTTGTATTTAACAAAAATTAAATATATGAAAGTAAATACAAATATGTATTTGAGCGTAAGTATTTGTATTAAATTAAATGTTTGAAAGTAAAATACCCATAAAAAGCCAGTACTTTAAATAGATAATGCGTATTTGCCTATAAACTATACTCCTTAAAATTTATTCATTGTTAATTAATTTGTAATATTTTGTCATTCATTGGACATGAAGTACAAATGACAAATTTGGTAAAAAATTCTAATTTCACTCCCTAAAACAATATTTTAATCGTTTGGACTGAATTTGCAATGGATTAGTAACCTCAGGGGAAGTCAGTGTAATTTTTCAAACTACAGGGGAGGTCAGTGCAAATGTTAGAAACCTCAGGGGAGGTTTCTGCAATTATCCCTTTTATTTATATTGTCATTTATGTTTCTTAAGTCGTAACCTTCTAAGAGCATCTTAACGACGTCGTTTTCTGCTGGCTCTCCCGCAAACTAAAGAAGCAAGGTAGCAGACAAATTTGCCACAGAGAACAGCACCAACCTTAAAACGTCACTCAGCTCAGGCGTAAAATCATGGGTCTCGGAGCCCTACGATCCATAATTCGACCCGTATCGCGGACTCTCTTGTCAACCCGTACAACCTTTGCTCTTGCTCCCCAACGAATCGCGGCCATCTTCTCTCCCTTTCCGGCATCTGAGCTCCATTTCCGCCACCACTTGGGCCCCTTCCACCGGAATCTTCCATTCAATCCTTCATCTTCCGCTTTCCACAGCTTACGCTTAACGGACACCCGATACCCCAAACGACGCCCCAGTGACAAGCCTCGTCGTAAAAGAGCTCAATTAAAACCCCAGGTCCCATTTTCATCTTCCCCATTCCTAGGGTTTAGGGTTTAGGGTTTAAGTTTTAGTTTCAAATTTTAATTACAAATTGGTGGTATTTTGGGGATAAGAAAATGTACACCTTGTAATTTAAAAGCTAACTGAAATTTTGATGCTTTTTGGGTGAATTTTATTTGCGGATATTAGGGCCTTATGCTTGGGTGAAATATGTACCTGGAGAGCCAATAGCTGCAAAACAACCCAATGAAGGAAGTGTGAAGCGAAGAAATGAGAAAAAGCGGATTAAGCTGCACCGTGCGTTCATACTGGTAAAGTCTTAAGCTTCATTTTCTTGGTAATCAGTAACTTTTTTTTTTTTTGGAGCTCAATTAAGTTTGTTAATCTGCTTGATATATGGTTTTCTGCGTTCAATCTTCTAACCAAATCTGATCTTTTTGTGGGTGACTATTTTATATTCTGGCCTAACTAGGAGTACGGATTAACTGAAATCCGATATTGAACTTGTAAAATGCAATGTCTGTGTAAAATAATGTATTTAATTATGATGACAATGTGTGAACATTTTCGTGATGTTCATCAAGGTAACCTGATTAAATTATTCTGGATTGGGAAAATAGATGGGAAAGAACTAATTCAAGAGAAATGCCTTGTTAAACTGTTTCTCTTGAACAAGTTTATGGCGCAACAAACTATCTTGATCTCTTTGCTCTCGAGTGGGTTACAAATAGGATCTGGTGATTAAAGCTGGCTTTTGATTGATGACAGTGAAAATTTGCTGCTTCACGAAATTCTATAGTTAGCTGGTGGAGCTTGCAGACATCTTTAGGCCTTATAATCTCATTAGTGATCTAATGCACTGTTGTCATTTGAAATGGTTCTTCTCTTTTCTGTTCTATAATCTGTCTTAATGTTGTAAATTTTATCAGGTTTGGCTATTTTGAGATTCTGCCAAAACTTTTGTGGTTTTCACTGAATTTTTTATTTATTACTTAGAAAAAATAACTTACTGTACTGGCTAAGGCATACTACTTGTTGACATTTGCGTTTCCCTTTTATGATATTCTTAATCATGGACAGGCTGAAAAGAAGAAGCGTAAAGCTCAGTTACAAGAGGCCAAAAGAAAGAAAATGATAAAGAGGGTGGAGCGGAAAATGGCTGCAGTAGCAAGGGAAAGAGCATGGGCACAAAGGTTGGTAGAGCTTCAGCAGATTGAGGAAGAGAAGAAGGCAGCAATGGCTTGACATTTTTTGGTTGCAATTCTAGCATTTTGTAGTTTTTGTGCCGGGAAGAAGATAAAAGTTGAAATTGCTTTTATCAGTGTAAGCTTTACTTTACATACTACCTACTCTAGTTGTGGTTCATGACTCCTTTATTTTGACATCTGTTGTCCTTTTCTTTCTTTTTACCCTTGTTTTGGATTTTCAACAGCTAGTACAAGCTCTTATTCATAATTCAAAGAGCATGTTGCTCGTCATCTCCAGTGATCTTCCTGCAAGTGTATTAAAAAATTCTGTAAAAATCTATTGTCTTCGTCATTTTATAAATTGTTGTTCCCTAAAAAATGCAGTAAACATATGTTGCCTCCTTGTTAATGGAAATTTCTTATTCCCTAAAAAATGTGAATCTTATAATATCACATATAAATGGAATAGTTATTAGCTTCTCTTGCACAGGATTGTAAACTTCATACTCAAATTCTCGATATACCCCACTGCTATGGCATAGTAAAACTTTGGACCATTCCTTTTCAAGCTTGCCCATCCATCCTTGTAGGCAATCCTAGTGAGCTCAAGTGGATTACTGAAGTTTTCAAATTATGTTGCTATAAAGAGCTGACCATTTTATTGAGATCCCATTGCCGTTACATTGTTGAATTTTTAGATTATTGGAAGATAGCTTCTATTATGCCTAGGTAAAGAATTGAGCTGGGATTCAGTGCGGTGAAACGCATTGAGTTAAAAGCTTATTCATGTCTACTTTTGCAACGATGTGCTTGAATTCCCCATCAGGAGTTATAGGTAATGTGCATGTGCACATATGCATTACAAGGGGTGCTAGTGTAATTTGAATTGGATAATAGTGCTTGCATACATGGTATTGGCATCTAAACGAAAAGGGGGATATTATGGAGCCGTGGAATGCTTTGCCCTGATTTGAGACTTGAGGCACCGTAGGGAAAGAGGAACAAAGAGGGGAAAGGAAGGAACACCTTTGACTTTAACTCGGCTATGACACTGGAAATCAACATGGTTAATGGAGATCGGTTGGCATGAACATCAAATAATGTACTGTTTTCAGTTAAAGGGAAGGAGTCAAGTTATTATGGTTGTAAGTTGCCACCCAAAAAATGTACAATGCAAGTAACATCATAATCTCACTAATTACTCACAGAAAGAAAAACGATACTAAATCGGATAGGTATTTCATCTTCGAACCTTGTACTAACACAAATGAATTATTGTAATGTGTGGTTGGTTGAAGAATTAGTAGATGGTCTGCAATTTCAATGACATGATCATCCCGTTTCAGCTAGCAGTTGCGGGCTGTCTACAATTCAGCTGGAATTTCTTGGCCTACATTGACCTATATTTGTTCCAATCAGTCCGCATACAAATCTTAGATCTAAAAGGCAGGATTAAAAGTAGACAGATTTAGTGATTGAGCCAAAATAATCTACAATAACTCTTGTATTAACTGCTGAAAATAACCTATGTCAGCTACAGTTTGAAGTTTCCAGCAATTTAGGCCGTACTAGGCATTAAAGCACGAGCATAATCATGCAAATGCCCTACAACGTATTGTTTATCGGGTAGACAGGGATGAAGGTTAAAGCTATAACATCATTAAACCAATGTTTGCAAAAGATGAAACGCGGGCGTGTTCGAATTTTACTATCAATAAGAGAATTATGTTGGTGAACGATTTGCAAAAATTTCTATAAGCGACTAATGATTTGAAGACATACCCTGATCTAAGATGATAATTGGAATCGAATTCATCTAAACTTTTTCGTACCAAAAAAAAAAGGGAGAGATGCAGGATTGTCGTCGTTCGATTACCAGACACTGTCGATGTACTAGCAGAGCACATGTTCGACGTGGTAGAGGACCACCATGCACCTTCATCCATTCTTATCAAAGAAGAAAATATAGATTTTCATGCTATGATGGCTCTGATGATAAAGGTCAGAAATCATAACCCCACTCCACTTGCAGGCTTAACTAATCAGTTTTCTATCAGGGCCCAGGGAGAAGAAAACCCTTCTTCAATCAAAAGAAAGACAGTGACCCCGGAACAAACTCAATGATATGTACTTACAATAGAGAAGTCATATGCCATTTGTCTTACAAGTCACAAAGATAAATATCATTACTCCAATGAAAGAACGCTCTAGGATTGCACTAAAATTTAGATTGATTAAAACGCTTAAAATCTCGGGGAGATGTGCTACAGGTAGTAATAATTGATATGGGCTCATCTTGTAAGACCTATGGTTGTGGGGGATGACCCTTGCCTTAGGTTTATGGTTATCCAACCCTCTTTTTTTTTTTTTCTTTTCATTATCCTCTTACTAGGGGTGTGATGGTGATCGGCAGCTTCCGTTTCAGTCTGACGAATGGAAAATAGGTAATGTCATCATCTTCGGCCACCCATCTGCAAGGGAGAAAATGAAAGATCGTGTTAGCTACCGTTACTTTCAGTATTCACCCGTCACCACCTTAGCCACCTAATGCAATAAGAAACCATAGTGCCACTACTAAAAGTTTTAGGGGTAGCATCCGCATGTGACTCTCTCAAGTCTCAACCATCTATTTGTCACAGGAAGTTAAAAAAAAAAAAGAAAGGAAAGAAAGAAAAGAAAGAAGACGAAGAAAATGACCTGTATGTTGTAACAAGATGATGAAGGAAAATAGCAATTTCGAGCCTCGACAGTTCTAAACCGGGACACAGCCTCTGGCCACCACCAAATGGTGTAAATGTGTTGCTGTTAACCGAAGCTCCTGTTTTCTACCAACCAATGCCCAAAAAAAAATGTTGATTAGAATGGTATCCAGACCAAAGAATCTTTTTGTTTCGTCTCCATGTTGACATTTTGCACGGGCGACATCAAAATGATGCTCTGATTGATAATTGAAAGTTGTAAAGAGGAAGTTATTGAACTGGTAACAAGACAGATAATCGGACAAGACACGCATACCTCCCATCTGCAGGGATTAAATTCATAGGGGTTTTCATAGTTTGCTTCGTCCATGTGAAGTGAACTGAAGGATGTCAAGACACACCATCCTCTTGGTATCAAGTGGCCTGGGAAAAGAACCCAATTAACCCACAGCCTAAATTAGCATTTTCCTGACGAGAATTTGTGAAGGAAAAAAAAAAGGTACTGTACAACCTGCTTTTGGCAAATGACACGTCCATAAAAGTAAAGAGAACTACATACCTTTAATTTTCACGTCTTTTACTGCTTCCCTCCAAACTGCATTCACGATATTGCCCATTCGCAGAGTTTCACTGATGACCTGAAGTGACCAAAAGAAGAAAAGAACAAGATACTGAATATTGCAATTCTTTAAAAAAAGAAATGTTCCCATTCTTCATTTTGGGGGGTCTAGACTCTATTGGTTACATAGTACAGCGACTCAGCAACTTACATTCTGGGTAAATGGGAGCGAGACATAATCAGTCCAATAATATTCATCACCCGACTTAGCCTTTTGCCGCTTCAGTTCCATGTTCTCCTCCTGCCCAAGTGATAAGAGGTTACAACTTACAAGAAGTACACACTATTTGAATTTGGAAAGGAGGCTTTGTTTGATAGTGTTATTCCTAAAAATTATTTTGATTAATTATTATGGTATTTTCTGTGATGTGATGTATCTAAAATAAAAAGGTGATTGATAATGTAAAAAGATGAATTAAAAAATATTTTTATGATACGAGCAAAAATTTTTTGAAAAAATTCGCTATCCAAACATATTTTAGTTGTAAGAAACTTGTAGTAGTACCCGGAAAGAAAGAAGGAAATCTTGAAAGAAATGTGTAGTAGTACCTAGACCGAAAGAAGGCTGACACCGACCGAAAGAAGGCTGACACCCAAAAAGAAAGAAAGAAGGCTCCCCTCCAAAAAAAAAAGAAAAAATAGCTAGTGAAAAAAGCCACCATATTTTAAAAAAAAAAATCACTACTTGACGGACAAAAATAATAGTATAAAATAGTAAGGAAAAAAAAAGGAGCTTAGTGTTTTAAAAAAATATAAGGTAAAAAAATAATTAAAAATTATGCTCACAAAAAATGGTTTAAGAATTTTTCTAAAGGAAAAAAAAAATCCAAAGAAGGTACGTAGTTGTTAGATTGGCCACCGGCTGACAGCCGTTCAATCCAAATCGTACGGCTAGAATAAGTCCAAACAGACCACCGTGGGGCCGACGAGCATCTCCCCACGTGTGGGCGCTCGTGTGTCTGATTGAAAATGACTTTTGAAAGTCAATCCAGTACGACAATCATAAAGTGAAGTTGACATTCAATGGCCCACTAGAAGCTCGTGCATCTAGTTGATCCCAGCCGTAGGATTACCCAGAACCTCATCCTATCCGTCGATTGAAAAAACAATTGAAAAATCCATGCTACGCGCCAGCCACGGTACAAAGAAAAAATCTAGTACTGCTACATACCAGCAATCGGGCTAGCTCGACGGGGCTGTCACTTAAGAACTTGACTGCTAGCGTCAGAGCCGTCGGAACAGTCTCTTCACCGGGGATCATCAACTCTATGAGGTTCTCACCTATCGAATCCAACGGCAGCCGTGGCTGAGCCTCCTCTGCTGCTGATGATTCAAACGTGTCGCGCAATAATACATCAATTACGTCATTCAGCAACCCATTCGTTCCTTGTTTTTCTTCCAAAGCAGCCATCTTTCTTTGCTGTATTATGCTTCTCACCACCTTCAACATCCTTTCTTTAGCCTGCATGGATCCTAATAATATTCATGTGCAAACCCTACCAATGACTAAGTTCAACAACCAATTTTTTTTTAAAAAAAAAAAATTCTATGAATGGTCAAATATACTGCGTTGCGTTATATATTTCCAACGTAAATAATTAAACCGTTGGAAATATTAATTAGATGGATGCATGCATGCAATTGCATATATAGGATGTGTTTGTACCTTCAAAGATTTGTACAACCTCGTTCCAGGAAGTTTAATGGGCAAAGAAATCAAGCCTTTGCAGTATTCTTCAAATTCCCTTCTCAACAAATTCAAATCTTCACCCCGGCCGACGCTCATCAAAGTTTTTACCATGACTTCAAATGCAATCTGAAACATTAACCATGGTTTATTTAATCATCCTCAAGTACAATAATTGTTTAAAAAACAGGTACCTCTGTCTTTGTGCGCGATAGTGAGGATTCAAAAAAAAAAAGACAAAAGATACCTTCCTGCTTTCTTCTTGGAGGTAAATTCGTCGGTCTTGTTTTTCCATCCAGGATGAGAAGACATGTCGAACGGATTCTTCTATGTCTCGAGTGATTTGAGCCTTGAACTGGGGTGACCTCAGGAAG